GGCTCAATAAGCCTCTATAGTTTTCCTTGTCCTTTACACTTTGGTATTTATTTCGGAGGTGTCTTATCAGCCACCGAGGTGGAAACCTCAAAGATTTTACGCCATCAATGAACGTTTAAAGATAGATATTCGTCACGTTACGCACCATCATTGATTAGAACTGCGCTTTTTGGTGAATTCTCTTCGTTGTACCGCGAATCAGTGCTCTGCCCTTTCCAAGATTCCCTTGATCGTCTTGTATATACTCATACATCGAGAGCGGATGGGATCAAATTGATAATAAGCAGCTAGTGTAAGTGAACTGCTTCCACTCGCGAGTTGTCCAAGATGCTCTTTTGAAGAAAGTTGGAGCAAACGAGTTATTAGGCATGAGGAGTATGATGTAACCCTCGAAGATATAGATCGGTGAAGTGATTTTACATCTTAACGAAACACACCTAATGAGATCTGCTACCGAGAATCAGATCAAACTATGGTGCAAACTTTCTACATTTAGAAATATGCGATATAAAAATGAAGTGAAATCAATTTGACGCAGGCCTCATCCACGGCTATTAGGTTTGAAACTTACCTTGAAATATGATGTCACCTTTGTTGATCCCGGTCGGATAGTAAACATGCTCTGTCCAATCCTCGAAACCAGTCTGGCAATGTACACTGTCCGCATATCTCGGTTGTCGGCACTCGCTGGCAGGCGTCCGACCTGATTTAATACGTAAAAAGTGGACACTGACCAGTTCCGCTTGGCTTAAAACAACTGGGGCCAAACCCTGTTCCGGCGGATACATAGCTACCACACAGGCGTACACTCCGTTGTCACTGGGTTTCGCATCGCGAATCATCAGTCGAGCCTCTTCCAAGGGCACGCTCAAGTCAGTTTTCCAGTAGGGAATTACTGGCATTCGGTTGTAACCTCGCCGTCCATCTCCCACCCACGGATCTATAACCATTTCCCAATTTTGATGAACCCATAGCAAGGACCAATAGTATTTTTCAGTGGAAGCTAATTTGCGCATTTTATACAGTCGTTGCATAACACGGGGTGTCAACGCACAGGGCAAATAGATCATGCTTCCTAGAAGCGCCTCCTGGTAATATGGACCTTCCCATTCCTTCCTGGTCAATCCGGCCAATGTGAAATTATCCACGTTTGGATTAAATGGAGGAGCCTGGGTCGGATGTACACTTTCAAGCTCGTCAGCTTGTACAAGTGTGACGAAAATAATCCGCAAAAGAAATAAAACCACAATCGGTTTCATAAAAAGTGGATGAAAAACTGAAAGCATTGTTTATCACTAGATGTTTGTGATAGTACTACAGATCAAAACAAAGTATATAGTTAACTGCCTACAGATTTATTATCTATCGATCGATTTACCACAAGGATATTTATCCGCAAAATTGAATTGGACTGATAGATCATGTGATCAAATGAAGCCGTAACATAGATGTAACTGGAAAAAGGATTTGTGCAAACACATCGCTGAATACTCTTCTCTGTCCGTAGGGATGCGAATCACAAGTATCATGAATGTTACTGTGAATGAAAAGTTTAAATCCGATCAAGGAAGATTCTCCTTCACGTATTTCGAAATCATTTGAAGCCTTCTTGCTTATTCAGCTTTTCGTAGTAAAAGCTGTTGTAAGGCTGTTTTGATGGCATTGGATTTACTGCTTCAGGTTGCTTTGTTGATTAGAGTTTGAGGTAATAATAAATATAGGGATGCGTCCATCAGTTACGTTCTCGTTGATCAATGATAGCCTGATTGGAAGGCATTCCGTGAGTGTGGCGTAGAGTAGAACATCAGCACACATGATGTTTTACTTTTTCAACAGGGGTTACTTTCAAAAATAGGTATATCAATCTTTCATTTATGCAATATATTCAAAACACTGTACAGTAATGGGCCTGTTTATCGCTCAAACGGGTTGTTGCACGCTTATTTAAGCACGGTAATCAAGATACAAAACAATGGAACTGTTTGATACACTTTTTGGTCGACTAGATGGAGATGGCTCATCCGAAAAGACGGAAGGATAACGGAAAATACACTAAACATATCACACATCGCTGGTTCTCGATAGTTAATGTGGGTATTGGTCATATGGTGAGCGTGACTCATTAGTTGTATACCACATATATCAAATTCATGTCTAAGCTCGTCTCTTCAATGGGGCGATGAATTCAGTCGCGTGAAAAGTGTTAGCCCCGATTCGTTATAGCAATTGAGCTATTGGATGGAGTATAACAGTAAAAGCAACTGTGAAACATTTGACGAATCATTGGTTCATGGATAGGCAAACTGACATCGGCATAGCCATCAACGATCAAGTCATGACATAAAAGGTCCCAAAATCGCTAGAGTTTCTGATAAACTGTAATTTATCTATTGCTTATGCTGAACATAAAGTTTTGATCAATGCGTCAAACAATATTCTCCTCGAACCTTTTGTTCGTTTCTTTGGAGGTAAGCATCAGAACATGCCAATGATTGTAACTTAGGACCGTGGAAAGATGTTCTTTTGAATAGAAAGGTAGATTTTTCTTCCACAGCGTTTGAACACAGTACATCCAGGGCGATGTTTATTTAGTCAACCACACTTGAGTGGTGTTCCTTTAGGAGCGCGGAGATACGCATCGAAAGTTGAGTGATACACAAGTGCAAGGAACATGGTGCAAAAGGATATTAACACCGAACTACTACTGAAAATGTTAGTTCCCGAAGTTGACTGTGTTAGATATATATATAAAACACCAATCTTGACAGATACGCCGCTAAAATATCTATGGGTGAACGAAAAAATGTAGGTGCAGAAGCGGGGAAAATAACACAGTCAACTTCGGGAACTAACATTTTCAGTAGTAGTCAATCTCCTGCTATGTCGAACCCCTCGGGAATTCGAAAAGGTGGGTAAATTGCAGGAACAGTACACAATAGTAGGTGCTGAAAAGTAGTATAAACATCGGTTGACAGTTTTGAGACAAAATAAACCGGATCGATGAAAAGTAGTTTAATCCCGTTAGTTGTTCTCAATAGTTATGATTATAAACTGTTTATTTCTAACGGAAATTAAATCTACCATCCTGCGTATCCTATATGTATCGCAGAAATTTAAATATTTTATGACACCCTCAGCCTATTATCGGTACATTGAATCCCGTATTCAGCCCTTTTCAGTTTCATGTGTCTAGTTATCTCGAATCTACCTACCTATCTTCAGGGGAACTTTTTCTGACCCAATTATCTCCCGTTAATTCCACATATTCCTTCATTCCGTTGCAACGTTAGGCTAACCACAGGATTGAATGTATGACTTCCACCATAATATACAACTGTTTTAGCTATAATAATCGCATCATTTTAACCCATTCAAGAAAAATAAAGATGAACCAGTTCGAATACAGTGAGAAGGAAATAACATCTAAAATGAGTGAAATATCTGTTATGGGGTATATTTAGAGCACTGCCCTCCTTCCCATATTCAAAGTGATTGTTCGTTGTGCAATCTATCAATGATTTTCTATTGAAAAATGTGTATCATTAACGTCTGCAAACATCTATTCGTTCGTTTGATTCTGTTGTTACCAGTGTATATTTGTAATGATTGTATTAGCAGCAGTAGTACGCACGAAATTCGGAACACCAACCACGCAATATGAATCACAGGACCCGAATCGATAATCAGCTATCATGGACTGGATCTCAAAAGCACTGGACCACAATGGCACGGATTCGCAATGTCCCACGAGAACGAGACGCGAGGAAAAGACCACAGGAATGGTAGTAAGCAGTAGTTCGTTTATTGAAAGAAATGCAGGTGATTAAATCATATGTACAGAGGGAGATTATTGGCTATCTTGGCTTCCACCAATGGGATTGCAGTACTGCTTGCATAATCTTGCTTCTGTCTGCATTGTCTTGGATTGGCTGGCACCATCCACCGATGACGTGTATTCAGAAGCCATGCACGTGTCATTGACGTCAGCATTCAAACTTGATTGATGTCCTGAAACTGTAACGTGCCGCTCCAGGGTAGGCGACATCGTGTCGGCCTGGATTACCGCAATGTTCAAATCGATTGATGCCTTCGTCATGACCGTTGTTGGTCAGACTAAGTTCAACTAGTGATACCCAAACTTGATTTAAGATGTCATGTTGCTATGTGGAGAATACGATAGTCCGATTACTCCATCGATGCACATTGTCTCATACTTTTTGATGATCTTGTTGTCACATTCAGTCCATCCGTGTGCTGATGACACCTAACGCTCACGGTTGTAGACAAGTTGTGGTTTCTCGCTCGGGTTAGTTGGACAAGCACCAAGTCGCTTGTTGCGGCTGAACCATTCGACCGATCGATAAATGAACCCGATCGGTCGTGCCATTTTCG